GGACCTTGCTGCTGACAGGAGTTATTATCCCTCTGTAAACAACAAACTGCTTCAATACAAACAATCCAGTGGACACTACAACTCCTTGGCACTTTCAGTGGAACCAGTGCAAGTCAGTTGCTAAATTACACAAGGTTTTCTTCTAAAGTCATAATTAATTAAGATATCAAAAAAACAACAACTGTGAGACAAGAGATCCCCCCATGGTTCTACTCTTAGGGAAAAAAACCCAAACCCTCATCCCCAGTACTGCAGTAGCTCAGCTCCCACAAAGGCCCAGGGGCTGTGCTGGGGCTTTTGGCTGCCCTGGAGCACAGGCAGGAACACGATGTCACCACCCCACAGGCACAGCTGAGAACCCAAAGAGCAGCCACACCAGCAGCTCCTGCCAGCCCTGCTGGGCTGGGCCTTGGGGAGGAAGGGCACTGGCCTTCCTTCCTGCCTAGGAGCAAAGAGCCTCCTTGCTGAGCACTTCTCCTGCCAAGGGCATCAGCTCACATGGGAAGTTCATCAAGTGCAACTTCTTGCACTGAGAAAGATTCCTGTTTCCTGGACAATCGCTATCCAAATGAACTCAGAAGTATACACTAGAAGTTCAGGTGTTACCTAAAATTTCTTAGAAAAACATCTGAGACTCAACTGGTGAGTTTTAGAAGCCAGGCAATCTTGTATTAATATGCTCTTGAATCATTCCAGCCCACCAGAGGCCCTGGCAATCAGACCCCAAAGGGCACACAGAGCTAGCTCCACTGCAGCTGATATGGCAGCATTACAGGAGGATTCATTTTCCTTCCCTGCATTCCTATTCCATACTCAGGGCACTCTCCCACACTTATTACCATACACACCTACCCTTAGAAGGTTTCCAAGGGGCTTCACCGAAGGGCTTCCCAGGTCTGCTCTGTCTGGAGCCCTCCAAGTCCTCAGTGCCTGACTGAGGAACCTCAAGACAACTCACCTGCTTCCACAGGAACTTGGTGCTGCTTGGCTGATGCCTCACTTCCCTTCTGCCTTCTTTCTTCACCTCCCTTGGTTGGTCCCTTTCAATCCCTTGGCTCAGCTCTGTGCACTTTCCAGGCTACATCCCACTGCAAAAAGGATTAGCTCTTGTTACATCTCAACACTCAGACAGCATTCCCCCTTTTTTCCTCACACTTGGCCATCAAGCCAGTGTCTCCTTATTTAAAGCATAGTCTGACTCCTCAGTGACAACAACAGCTACAGCCCTGAATCAGAACACAGGCTGAGACACAAACACGGATGGGAACTCT